CCCTTCCCCCCCCGGCCCCGCTCCCCCGCTTCACTTGCTGGGCAGCGCTCGGGCAGAGGGCGGGGGCCGAAGGACTGCCGGTGCAGAGCCGTGATCCATCCAGCCTTGTCCGATAGAAACACCGCACTTTAGTCATCTACACTGATTGTTCCCTTCCACAGGTGAAGTAGTTTCCAGTGAAATTTTCGTATTTTTGCACATTTTCTGTAGTTGAAAGACACGCAGAACTGATCTTGCTCCATGATAAAACTACTACTCTCTTCTTTTTTATTCTGCATGCCAGCAGAAGCAAACTACATCTAAATAAACGCTTCTCGTTAGGACTAAAAATACATTTATATGTGGGAATCAGTGGCGTTAGTCACGCTAATTACATTGCAGGTTTAGGTGTTTAGCCCAGAAAATAAGAAAGCCACAGTTATGTTTTAGCTGTCAGTTAGGTATCGGTGATTGTAGATGTTACGGTATAGTCTAAAGCTCCAGCAGTATCGAGGGCTCCACATCCAAGTACTATAGATATCTATATTATCCCTCAGAGAGTTCCCAGGCAACTGAAGTATACTCTGTAGGATGTACAGATTTTGATTTTCATAGTAATAATAATTTAAAATTCTTGCCTAAATTTTCAGAATAAACCAAAAGCCTGATCACTTTAGGGAGATGGATATTTTCAAAGCACAGACAACATCCTCAGTTTTCCCAGTGCATTATAGCAGAAGTTTCACTGTGAGAATGAAATCTGTGTCGTAGTTGCCATGGTCCCCTGGTACCCGTATGGGTGTGACAGGGAAATGCAGAAGCCACGCTTCTGTTGTCACCAAAAGTAAAAACATTTAGCCAAAGTTTTCTTCACCCCTTCCTATACCTTTACAGCACAAAGAGGAAACATCCTTTTGAATAATTTTTTGAATGAATAAAAATGTCTGAATGTGTATTTAAGCAGACATATTTTTCTTATACGTGAAAAAGATCCTGGTCATGCTGACTGAAGTAAAACAAACCCTGGTCCTGCACATACTTTGGAGCACACTTTACTATGGCATAAGGTGCCCCAATTTGAATGAATAGGGCTTGCAAGGCACAGAAGAGCAAGGCACGTGTAATGGGAGTTGTAGGTCCAAATTCTTACTTGATGTAAGGCAGCTAGAGGTAGTTAGACCTTATTTTATGCGCTGTTTAATTGGGAATTAACTCTGAGTTCTTTCCGATGGCTTAAAGCTTAGTTTTGCACAGGCCATGCTCTGTTGGTCTGTGATACAGCAGGTAAATTAATTGGTTCTCTTGTCATAATTTTACCTCTGGAGGAAAATATAATTAACAAAGAGGGCAAGGGGCCTTAAATTAGAAATACTAGTCATGTAGTGGCCTGGCCAACAGCTATTTCCTGCTGCTGACTCTGCACTGCTGTGCCTCCACAGGGATTGCAGGTAGGAAGGGAGGAGGTAGGGACAGAGCCGGGAGCGTGTCCTCACATCAGGTATTAGAGCACCTAAGGAGAGTTTCTGCTGACATAGGGAAGGGACATGAGAGATGTGCGTGGACAAGGATCCTCTGGAGTTGGTGGGATTTGCTTGTGCACCCTCAGGCTCTGCAGACACCATTACTACGAGTGCTGCGTGTGCTTGTCTCAGTGAACACAAATTAAATCCGTTTCTTCTTCACAGGCGGGTTCTGTGCAGGCTTACCTACATCAGTGCTGCTTTGCTATGAATGTCGTGCAAAGTGTCACGCATATTATGTTCTCTCATAACACAATAGGCTGTTTTATTAACCGTTGTTCGAAATAACCCCAGGTAACCTGTAAGTAAATTGTCTTTCCTAGTCAGGTCTTTACTCCCATTCAAGAAGCATGGTTGCTGTTGTAGAACCGCAAGGTGAGAGTTTGTATTACCACTGAAAAATCGTTACTGAATGTTTTGTTTGGGAAAAAACACCTAAAGTCGTAAATACTTTGAAATTGAATTGAAAGTTACTGATCCTGAACCCATTGACCATAAGTCGTGCTGATGCCGAGGGAGAGTGTGATCCGCAGCTTAGTAAAACTATATTGGCTAATTAAAAAAATGCAAGTTTAACTATGCAGCACCTGCTGCTCCGAGTGGCATACACATTCCCAGTGATACTCACATGTTCCGCAAATATCGGGCTGGGAAAAAGTGGAAGGAAGCCGAGTCTGCACATGCTTAGTGCTGGCTCTGTGGTCAGATCTTTTATATTTGATGGGAAGGTAAATAGAAAGAAGGATGTGAATTCACTAGTTTGCTGTTCTGATGTGCACGGTGAGCTCCGGCCGTAACGCAGCCACTTCTCTGTTCTTTCACTCGAGGTGTCCAAGTGCTCCGAGGAGATCAAGAACTACATCGAGGAGCGGTCGGGCGAGGACCCGCTGGTGAAGGGGGTTCCCGAAGAGAAGAACCCCTTCAAGGAGAAGGGAGGCTGTGTCATCGCTTAGGAAAACGAACCCAGCGCCTGCCACCGGAGCAGGCGCTCTTGTTGTACCTGTAGGGAGTCACTAGCGTGTCCTCA